CCCCAAAACCCCAAAACCCCAAAACCCCAAAACCCCATGGTTCAATATAAATTTGAGAATTGAAATATGGATAGGTGAGAAATATTAGGAAGAACATACATCGCAAATTATAACAAATAGACTCCGATGTACTATTTGTAGTAAATCAAGCCATGTGATCATATTTATTTGAAGCTGATCATTCTTGAGCTTGGTTTGTTGAGGCTGGTTGGGCTTCTGGTTGAGCGTCTCCACCGTTGTTTTGACCTCTTCCTCCTCTTCTGGCTCCTCTTTCGGTGTATGGTCTATCATTACCGTCACCTCTTCCTCTGTAGCCACCTCTGCCACCGCGACCTCCTCTGCCGCCTCTTCCTCTCTTTGGTTGGTCTTCTCTTTCCTTAACGACTTGGAATCCATCTTCATCGACGTCTTCTCTTTGGTGATATCCACCTCTGCCTCTGTAACCTCCTCTGTTACCTCTATCGCCTCTTTCGCCTCTGCCTCTGTAGCCGCCTCTGCCACCTCTTCCTCTTCTCTCGAAGCCTTCACCGTCTCTTCTTTGTCTCTCGGTATGTTATTGTTGTTCACCTTCTTGGTTTTCACCTTCTGGTTGAACATCTTCACCCTTGGTCTCTTCATTGGTTTCATCGTGGTGTTGCTCTTCTTGATCATGCTCTTATACCTATTCTTATTGCTCTTAGGCGGGTTTCTTCTCTGGGCTCTGTCTAGTGATAATTGTGGTATCCTTTGGAGCATGGTGGACCTTATGTTATTCGTGAGTTTCTCTCTTTAAGCTGAATGACTTGACAGCTAGTCCTTCTTGCTCACCAGAAGCTAATTAAGCTAAATATGAGTGGATATCTGCATATGATTTGCTGGTGTTGTGTCCAACTTAAGTCTGTGATCTCAAGGCTAATCTTGAGAAAGTCTCTACGAATTATTCTTTAGTTTGACTCCATTGGAAGCTTTCGTGATGTCCATACCCAGCTAATCTTTCAAAACTTTGGAAAAGGAAGTCAAGTGAGTCGGTGTGTTGCTTGGATGCTCCATTGAGGCTTTCGTTGAATCTGGAATGAAGAGTTCTAGCAACGACGGCATCAGCAAGTACAGATAGAGTGTCATTTACTACTTAACTAACATCGACCTCGGGGACTTGTTGGGCGGCAACTTATTGCTGAGCTGGTTGTTGCTGGATTAGTTATTGCTCTTGTCCCTTCTTTTATTTCTTATCCTTAGCTCCGGTAGAAGCCCAAATTGGGTTTTCTGGGAAGGCGTCCTGATACATTTTGATAATTCCCTAAAGATCCTTCATCTCCTCTAATAAACTACTCTTGCTATTTATCATATCTTATTGCTCTTGATTTGGCTTTAACTCTCCTTTCTTAACTTTTTCTTCGGTTTCCTTAATTTTATCGAGCTTCTTCTTCTTGTTTCTCAATTTCTTGTAAATTTGATTGACGAATGGGTCCTTAGTGTCAGCATATTGCTCTACAACTGCGGCGTGGGGGTCTCTCTTGGACTTTGGTTGAGTGTCTGTCATTATTTAAATTCAATTTATATATTAGATTATTAACCTTTGATTTTAATATTAAAATACCAAATACTAAATCTCGAACATTCCTAAAATCATATGCTATATGAAATTCTGGGGTTTTGGGGTTTTGGGG